AGCTGCAGCTCCTATGACTGTTCAGCATCCCCACGGTCACGTGATCACAATTCAGATGCTTGGCAACTGACTCATATTTATGACGGTTGCAGTGTCCCAGTATCCTATGATCACCTCTTGTGACTTTCTGACCAACAAAGATAATAGGAAAGCCAGGTTCACTTAACAACCATGTTATTAAGTCAACAATGGCAGGGGTTCACTTAACAACGGGGACAAGAAAGGTTGTAAAATGGGGCAAAACTCATTTAACAAATGTCTCACTTAGCAACTGTAATTTTGGGCTCAGTCATGGTTGTAAGTTAAGGACTACCTGTACTTGGATCATGTGTTATAAAGTTGCACTGTTTGATCAAGGATAAATTATTTCTTTGATATTTCTAGTAATTCCTAATAGACTTTGTACTAATTGAAAGCACTGAAAAGATGATCATTTCTAGACTCCGTATAAAAAGTTATGGGGAGAAGAGCGTGTTTTTTTATTTGTAACTTTATTTGTAACTTTTAAAAGGTTGAAAAATTATTATATTAGCTTATGCTCAGTGTACTGAAGGTTGGAAGTCATTTCTCTGTTATTGTCATTTTGGGTTATTCTTGTTTTCCCTGCTTTTTCTTTTTCTTTTATTTCTCTTTTTCCTGTACCTTATGAACTTTTTTATTTTTCTGTTTTGTTCTTCTCCAGTGAGTCCTTCCTTCTCATTAGATGGTCAAAGTAGTTGCATTTCACTTCAGGATCTGGCCTTCTAAAGAGCAGTCGGGGTTGATCTCTTCTAGGACTGACCGGTTTGATCGCCTTGCACTCCAGGGGACTCGCAGGAGTCTTCTCCAGCACCATAGTTCGAAGGCCTCCATTCTTTGGCGCTCAGCCTTTCTTATGGTCCAACTTTCACAGCCATACATTGCAACTGGGAAAACCATAGTAGTAATAATAATAATAATAATAATAATAATAATAATAATAATAATAACAACAGCAACAGCAACAGCAACAACAACAATAATAATAATAATAATTGTAAAAGGTGGCCTTACTAGGAACTGCTTCCATCCTGCAACGATATCTGTAATACCATCAAACATCCACATCTGCCTATCCCAGGTCCTGGGTAAGGACTTGGTGGGTAGACAAAAATGTCAAATCCAGTCTGAACATCTGGCTGACTGTGCGATGATTAATAATAATAATAATAATAATAATAATAATAATAATAATAATAATAATAATAATAATATGAAAGACAAAAAAGTCTGCATAGTGGATGTGGCAGTACCTGGAGAAAGCAGAATAGAAGAGAAGGAACTGGAGAAGTTAACAGAATACAAAGACCTGCAAATATGGCAAAGGAAAGCAAAAATAGTACCAATAGTAATAGGTGCCTTGAGTGCAACCCCAAAACAGTTGGAGCATCATTTGAATACCATCAGCACTGAAAAAATCACCATCTGTCAAGCGCAAAAGGCAGCTTTACTTGAAACAGCTTCTATCCCTAGATGATATCTTTAAGATCGTCAAACAAACACATTTTCCTACCCCAGGCCCTTGGAAAGGGCTCCATGGGTGAATAAAAAGGCCAAACCCATCGGACATGTGGCTGACTGTGTGACAAACCATAATAAGGTTATTGCTTGTTCATTTTCATTGAAACATATTTCTGATATGAGCTAGGTTTGGGGTTATGTGATTTTAGGGGGGGGAAAAATCTATTGGCCGTTGCACAAATCCAATATGACAATATCAGGATAGTAAAATCTCGTTCAATTTGCTTGTTTGTCTCTGGCTGGCTTACATTTTAAACATAAAGAAAAGTCAAAGATCATATACATCTAGAAATAGGAGACACAGTACGCCACACTACGCCCCCCCCCCCAAAAAAAAACCCCTCAAAAGGATTCAACTGCCTGGAAGCAAAGCCATGTTTACAAAGAGTTTGAGGACACCACCCATATAGACCTTGTGGGGCAAACGGTGATAAATTCTTGGATCCTTCTGCCTCTTAAATCCACACAAAATCTTACGGAATCCATGAGTTATGCAGAACAAGTTTCTTTTCTTTTCTTTTTTCTTTTCTTTTCTTCTAAAAAGACACTGAAGGAGCTTTTGTAGATCAAATGGAAGCCACCCCTGGATGACTGGTATTCAGCTGAAGGCGAGCAAGTGGATCTCCTTATTTGTACACTTATTTCCAGCAACATGAGCAGCAATGTGTTTCAGAATTAAACATCAAAAAGCAAGCACTGAGCAGCTGATTCTCTCCGCCACCTGGCTTACATCGCTTCTGTATTCAAATGGCCTCTCCTACGGCTATGCCACCTAGAGCAAAATAAAATAGAATCCCTCATAAAATAAAGACCAAGAGCAGCAATAGATAATATTAGATAATATTTTATGACTTCTGCAATGGTGGTGGTGGAGGAGGAGGAAAGTGTGCTGGATGTGTTGAATTATTTGGAAAAATAATACAGGTAGGCCTCGACTTACAACAGTTCATTCAGTGACTGTTTGAAGTTACAACGCCACTGAACAAAGAGGATGATTTTTCACACTTAAGACCGTTGCAGCATCCCCATGGTCACTTGATCAAAATTCAGATCCTGGGTAACTGGCTCATATTTATGAGGGTTGCACTATCCCGGGGTCATGTGATTCCCCCCTGCTTGACTTCAGACAAGCAAGGTCAATGGAGAAACTAGATTCACTCAACAACCATGTTACTAATTTAACAGCTGCAGGGATCCACTTAACTACTGCGGCAATAGAAGTCGTAAAATGGGGCAAAACTCACCTAATAAATCTCTCGCTTAGCAAAGGGAAGTTTTTGGGCTCCATTGTGGTCATAACTCAAGGACTACCTGTACATCTGCTGATTAGTTCAGCTTGTGAACTGGAATGGAAGAGAACATCTTGTCTTGATAGCGATTTCCACTATCACTCTAGTCCAGGGATAGGCAACCTTGGCTCTTTTATGACTCGTGGACTTCAACTCCCAGAATTCCTGAGCCAGCCATGCTGAGGGGAAAAGGAGAGGTTTCCAAGCTGAGCCATGCTGGCTCAGGAATTCTGGGAGTTGAAGTCCACGAGTCATAAAAGAGCCAAGGTTGCCTACCCCTGCTCTAATCATTGTGACCATTGCCTTCAAACCTGAATCTAAGAGGTCCTTAAATGATACTATTTCTCAGTGATTACTAAAACCTTGGCCTACTTTTATGCATTTCTGTGGTGCAGAGCTTTGGTGGCGCAGTGGTTAGAATGAAGTATTGCAGGCTAATTCTGCCCACTGCCAGGAGTTCGATGCTGACCGACTCAAGGTTGACTCAGCCCTTCCATCTTTCCGAGGTTATTAAAATGAGAAGCCAGATTGTTGGGGGCAAATGTGCTGATTCTATAAACTGCTTAGAGAGGGCTGTAGAGCCCTCCGAAGTAGTATATAAGTCTAAGTGCTGTTGCTATTGCTATTACTATTTCAAGCCCCATTCAGTGTATCTCCTCAAACTTCACCCAGCAGACATAGCTGTACAGCTGGTTTTCTAATATTTTTTCTTGCCTAGATACTATTAGAAGCATCAACTCCTTGAGGCACTGATGATCAAAAAAAGGCACCACCTTCTGTTACTGATGAGCCCAGAGCTATCTCAGAAATGCTGTCAACTTTCCCCACCAGAATAAATGTTAGAAAAATATGTGCCCCTCTTAAATATTCAAACTGTTTGCTACACTCCTTTGATCTGTAGCTCCTCTGCTTTTTCAGCTTCATTGGTTATGCAGATTTTCAGATAAGGAGTCTGAAACTGCACGGTCTATAATAATGGGCATGGAATCAGTATCCAATGCATTTCAGCTCTTCTTGTTGCGTTAAGCCACACTTCCAGCCACCTGGCCGACAGCGCCATAGGAGTTATAATTGATAGTGGTATAAACCACAGGCATTGTAAACAAAGCCTAAACCTAAACTTCACAGGTTAGAGAAATGAGAAAGTAACAGAATGAAAGTTAACAGAGACAAAATGCAATGTTCCTTGCGTAGGAAACTGAATACGTGTCGGCAGCTTGATGTAGCTGACAAATATTCATAGAACTCATTGAATAACAAAGTTGGAAGGCACCTTGGAGGTCATCCAATCTAACTCCCTGCTTGAGCAGAATACCCTATACCAGTGGTTCTCAACCTTTTTAATGCCGTGACCCCCCAACCGGTAGTAAGTCGAGGACTACTCAACCGGTCGTACGTCGAGGACTACTCAACTGGTGCAGCACCGTTTGCAGAATGGGACTTTTGGCGGGCTCAACAGGGCAGAGACAGCTTGGACAATTCCTATTGGCTTTTGAAAGCCAATAGAATTAGACTCTATTCAAGAGAGTTTATTCTATTGGCTTTCAAAAGCCAATAGAATAAAAGGGAGTAGCACAGCTAAGGAAAAGGGGGAAACAATGGCGGACTGCATTGTTTGGCGACCCCCGTGAAATGGTCGTTCAACCCCAAATGGGATCCCGACCCACAGGTTGAGAACCGCTGCCCTATACCGTTTCAGGCAAATGGCTGTCCATTCTCTTCTTGAAAACTCCAGTGATGGGGGCATCCACAATTTCTGAAGGCAAGCCGTTCCACTCATTGATTGCTCTCTCATTGTTAGGCAATTTCTCCTTAGTTCTAGGTTGCTTCTTTCCTTGAATAGTTTCTATTCGTCAGTTCTTGTCTTGCCTTCTGGTGCTTTGGAAAATCGTTCCCCCCCCCCTCAGTTCTTTAAAATTGAAGAAGGTTTTCGGACAAGAAGCAAAATGTTTTCGAGGAAAAAAAAACGAGAAAGTCCGGTTGCCTTTTGGAAATATACCTTTGGCGCATTCAGCAACAAGCAGCCTAAGAGTAAAAATTCTGTGCCTTTCACAGCCCGACACATTCAGGTGGGTGGCGAGGGATATCACAAAGGAAACTCTACGTGAAAAGACCCTTAAATAAGGTCTACTGCTGTAGCTTCTCACCACTTCATTTCCCCTTAATTTACAGGCTTTGCGAGTCCAAGTACTGGAATATCAAATTTGTCACAGAGTAGTCTACACAATGCATTACACATGTACTTGAATGGTTCCATGTCTCAGGTCCAGGGTTCAGCCAATGATCCCATCTTCATCCTGCACCATGCCTTTGTTGACAGGTAAGTTGGATATTTCATGATAAAAATTATGTCTTCCATGGGATAATAAAAGATATCACAATAGTTGGATATATTGCATATGGATTAGAAGAAAGAACTTGCAGATATTCAGGATGTCAGCTATTTTTTATGTCTATATTAAGAATTCTGAATTTATTATGTCTGTCCCATAGATAATATGCTAGAAAGTATGCCAGATGAAGACCCTACTATCTATGTTCTATTAGTATCTGTCTAGAATAGAATAGAATGGAATGGAATGGAATAGGGTAGAATAGAGTAGAGTAGAATAGAGTTGAACAGAACAGAACAGAACGGTACAGAACAGAATAGGGTAGAAGTAGAGTAGAGTAGAGTAGAGTAGAATAGAATAGAATAGAATAGAATAGAATAGAATAGAATAGAATAGAATAGAATAGAATAGAATAGAATAGAATAGAAACATGGAATGGAATAGAATAGAATAGAATAGAATAGAATAGAATAGAATAGAATAGAATAGAATAGAATAGAATAGAATAGAATAGTTATTTATTGGCTAAGTGTGATTGGACTATTACAGAAACGTGTCCATTACATTTTTCCAGTCAGAAGCAGGTCAGTCAGTTGAGGGTTGTTGTTGATGCCTCTGAAGTAATAAAGCTCTTTAAATTGTTTTAATTATATAAATATGTTCCACATCAACTGTTAAAGAAAACAAGTTGAGTTTAAATAAATAAAAAAGGGCCCAAGCACTCATAGTTTCCCCAACTACACTTAAAAGATGCATATCAAGCTGTTGCTTCTTCTGCCTTTAGATCTCTGACTAAAGCAAATTTTCAAATCTTTTACTATCAAGAAATGCCATCCAGCTCAAAGGGAATTCTTTATAGGGAATCTTCCCCCCCCTCCCCCCATCATTGCATTTCCCAAGAGTTTCAATTTAACATTACCTAAACAGCATTACTCAGAGCAGATTTTTATATTTGTGATAACAGGGAAAGGTCAGTTCCATTTGAAATCTGAAGAGATCGCAACCCAGTAAAGTTTGAAAACTCAGTTTTATTGGAATTGGTTTGACTCACGGTATATTTTCTCCTCAGCTATCTCATCACACAATAAGAGTGAGAAGGCTTTCTTCTCCTGTCTTTTATTTTCTTTTTACTACTATTACTAATTAATAATTCTCCTTTGTTTTATCTTTATCTTTCTCTTTTCATGTTTGTGACATTCAACCAACTCAGTTCACAATAGGAGCCTGCCTGTTTGTTTAAACTGGATGATACAAATGTTTCAACTATGTTCCCTTGCCTAGCTATACAATGTAACTAACATGGAATTAAAGAGAAACTTCCTGACAGTGAGGACAATTAACCAGTGGAACCCTTCCAGTTCTATTCTATTCTATTCTATTCTATTCTATTCTATTCTATTCTATTCTATTCTATTCTATTCTATTCTGTATTCCAGTGATGGCGAACCTTTTAGAGACCGAGTGCCCAAACTGCAACCCAAAACCCACTTATGCATCGTCGGGTGCCGGGTAGGTGTGGCCCATTGGGTGGGTGTGGCCCATTGGGTGGGCGTGTCCCATTGGATGGGTGTGGCTGCAGTGGTAACAGCAGACTTGGTGGGACTAAAAAGTTCAATCAATCAATTCCAACTTTGCAAAATCTTTTTTTTCCCCCGCAAGAAGTTGAAATTGACTGATTGATTGAACCTTTTTTTTTTTTGCACATGGCGGTGGAGGCCTAAAGTGAAAAGGTTTTATAAAACCCAGCTGAAGGCCTAGGACTGGGGCAATGGCGCGCATGCCCACAGAGAGGGCTCTGAGTGCTGCCTCTGGCACCCGTGCCATAGGTTCGCCACCACTGCTCTATTCTATTCTATTCTATTCTATTCTATTCTATTCTATTCTATTCTACTCTACTCTACTCTACTCTACTCTATTATATTCTATCTTCTATCCTATCCTATCCTATTCTGTATTCTATCCTATTCTGTATTCTATCCTATTCTATCCTATTCTCTATTCTATTCTATTCTATTCTATTCTATTCTATTCTATTCTATTCTATTCTATTCTATTCTATTCTATTCTATTCTATTCTATTCTATTCTATTCTTCTATTCTATATTCTATTCTATCTTCTATCCTATCCTATCCTGTATTCTATCCTATTCTATCCTATTCTCTATTCTATTCTACTCTATTCTACTCTACTCTACTCTACTCTATTCTATTCTATTCTATCTTCTATCCTATCCTATCCTATTCTGTATTCTATCCTATTCTATCTTATTCTCTATTCTATTCTATTCTATTCTATTCTATTCTATTCTATTCTAATGCCTGCTTCAAACCAAAAATTGTGTCTGTCATCACTTTAGCAAGGTTAAATATGGCTGCACTTTGGCTATATGATTACACCTTAAACACTGGCCCTAAATAGTTTTGATAAAATATTAGCTAATCTATATTATGAAACATTTTAACATATACATTTATTATGCACCTCACACATGTGTGTGTACATAGTAAATGTATATGTTAAAATTTTCCATAACATAGATTAGCTTATATGTGTGAGGTGAAACATTTTTAGCACAAACATTGATAGCTTAATATTCATGTGCCGGTTCAGGATTTTAAAAGCTTGGCAAGTGTGCCAAGTATTATGATGCTGGTTACCTTGATCGCTTGGTATTCACACAAGTCTCAAGCTGCTTTCAGACCTTTCCTCCCCCTCCGGTGAAGAAAGTTGCTCCAAGTCCTACACAAAAATACGGCAGGCACTGTGGCTCAAATCCATGATAGGTTGTGAGAAAGGCAGGTCAAGATTGCCCACCTCCCACGCTTAAATCAGAGCCTTGGAAAATCTTCACAAATTATCTGGATTGCTTAAAAGGTCCAACCGCTCAGGGCTAAGGTCAGCTTGTGTTTTGCTGACTAAGGTTTCAAGTCCTCGAAAAAGAAAAATGAGATTGTTTTAAAATAGGTGAAAAGAAATGACCTCTGGTATGCTTTTTCGGAGTGCTGTGCAAAGAGGACATTCAGTGTAGGGTATGATAGCTTTAAAATAATAATAATAATAATCATCATCATCATCATCATCATCGTCGTCATCATCATCATCATCATCCTGGGTAAGGACTCGATAGGTAGACAAAATGCCAAATCCAGTCTGAACCTCTGGCTGACTGTGTGATGATCCATAATAATAATAAATAATTGTCAATAAGAAAGACAAAAAAGTCTGGATAGTGGATGTGGCAGTGCCTGGAGACAGCAAAATAGACGAGAAAGAACTGGAGAAGATAACAAAATACAAAGACCTACAAATAGAAATAGAAAGACTGTGGCAAAAGCAAGCAAGGGTAGTATCAATAGTCATAGGCTCCTTGGGTGCAATCCCAAAACAACTGGAGCACCACTTGAACACCATTGGCATTGACAAATTCGCTATTAGTCAATTGCAAAAGGCGGCCTTATTAGGAACTGCTTCCATCCTGCGACGATATCTGTAATACCATCAAACATCCACATCTGCCTATCCCAGGTCCTGGGTAAGGACTCGATAGGTAGACAAAATGCCAAATCCAGTCTAAACATCTGGCTGACTGTGCGATGATCTATAATAATAGTAATGATGATGATGATGATGATGATGATGATGATGTCATATCTCTCCTGGAGGATTTTATTCTTTAGAAGAACGTCTAGAGAGCCCTTTGGTAGATGCAGGGGTGTTTTGCAAGGTGAGGCTGGTGGCTGTGGCTGCCTGATCAAATCCACATCCTTTAAAAAACATCAAAATCCTCACCCTTTCAATTAAAAAAAAAAATAAGCAGGGGGACTTTTGATTGCACAGTCGAAACTGCCAGCTTTACTTTTTTTCACTCCACCCTGTGGATGCCCCAAGGCAGAACAAGAAGTTACTAGACCTTTGCAAATTGCTTCAAAAGCAATGTATAAGAAGTGTTTGGGGCCTTGTGTGAGTCCCCAATCCCTCTCTACTATTCATTAAGGTATCCTCACGTTGACGGCTTTTGCAAAAGCCTGAAACAAAAATGCCACTGTTTTAAAGAATTAATGATAATGCCATTCTTAAAGCAGTCGCTGCCCCCCCCTTTTGTCCAACTTGAGTAGTTTTAATGAGTAGTGCAAAGTCCAAATCAACTAATAATGGTTGAGGCCACCGAAACCAGAACTTTGTATCTCCCTCAACATCTGAAACTGTAAAAGAGGCAGGAGGGAGGAGGGGGGGAAGAAGAAGAAGGAGAAGGAGAAGGAGAAGGAGGAGAAGGAGAAGAGAAAGGAGAAGGGGAAGAGGAAGAAGGAGAAGGAGAAAGAGGAGAAGGAGAAGAAGTAGGAGGAGGAGAGGAGGAGGAGGAGGAGAAGAAGAAGAAGAAGAAGAAGAAGAAGAAGAAGAAGAAGAAGAAGAAGAAGAGGAGGAGGAGGAGGAGGAGGAGGAGGAGGAGAAGGAGAAGGAGAAGAAGAGGAGGAGTAGGAAGAAGAGGAGAAGGAGAAAAGGAGAGAGGAAGGAGAAGAAGAAGGAGAAGGAGAAGAGGAGAGGAGGAGGAGAGGAGGAGGAGGAGAAGAAGAAAGGAAGAAGAAGAAGAAGAAGAAGAAGAAGAAGAAGAAGAAGAAGAAGAAGAAGAAGAAGAAGAAGAGGAGGAGGAGGAGGAGGAGGAGGAGGAGGAGGAGAAGGAGAAGGAGAAGGAGAAGAAGAGGAGGAGGACAAGAAGAAGAAGGAGAAGGAGAAGAGGAGGAGGAGGAGGAGGAGGAGGAGGAGAAGAAGAAGAAGAAGAAGAGGAGGAGGAGGAGGAGGAGGAGGAGGAGGAGGAGGAGGAGGAAAGTCCAAAGCAGTTACTTTTCACTGTAAAAGATACTATAAGTTGCAGCTCAGCGATATTTTGGAGAGCCATATTAGTATTTCCCCAGATTGCTCCTTCCTCCCTTCTCTCAAGAGTAGCCCATTTGTCTACTGCCCACCACCCAATTAATACTGCATTGAAGC